GAAAAATTGTTTAATTTTATGGGTAGACTCACTTTTTCAAAAATTATTGGGATTTTGTTACGAGATATTATATTACTATAAATTTTTCGTAATCCTATTTTTTTATTTGTTAAATAAATTATATAATTATATTATCGAATATAACGCTTTATAAATAATATGGTATCATATCTATTACTGGGTAATAGTTAACTAACAGTATAATAGTGAGAGTTTCTGTTCATAAAATACGCAATATTCAACCGTTATTGGATCATTCAGCTAAATGAGCTAAACATAATATATTAGCTCATTCAGCTGAATGATCACGCATATTATTATCGATATAAATATAATTATAATAAGACATGGGGTGAATAAATTTTCCTTAATACTTTAACAGGTTTAGAGGACTGTCAACAAAAAAAGTTGGCGAATTTACAAAATTAATCACCATATTTACAATTTATATTTACAGGATTTTTAAATAGTTTTTCAAATTTTTTATGTTCTTTTTAATTTACTTTTAAATATTTTTATGTTTATACAATCTTATTTTTATTTTATGTACAAGACTTAGGACTTCAGTTTTTTTTCCTTATTTACATATTTACATTCAAGAACATCAACTGCTTCATTTTCTGCCGATTTCCAAAAAGGAGACTGTACTCAATTCGACTGTATGTTTTTTATGTGTGTTACCTCATAAATTTTTACTGGGTGAACCGATTCCGATTATTCTTTTTTTATTTGAAAGCTGGTACTTCTCGCGTGTTTCCATATGAATTTGATCAAGGTCAGACCAACAGTTTTTGAGTTATTCTTAATAGCTTATATTGAAGTCGGCTGTACAAAATTTTTAATTTTAAATTATCTTAGTGCAAGCGAGAAGAAATTTCCTTGTGGCAAAAATGCAAGATAGAAAAGGATACCAAATCTCATGACTCTGTAACCGATTTTGAATGACAGATCGGCGCAATTCGGCACGCAAGAAATAGCTATTAGATATTTTGTAGTTTAAAGTTAGTTAAAGTTTTGAGTGTTAAAGTGGTAATTTTTAATTTTAACAAGTTACTCTTTTCCAAAATGGTTACTTGTTCTTTAAGAGACTTTAGTGTTAATAATAGAAATAATCATGCTAATTGAATATATCACAGGTAAATTCTCAAGACATCGTCAATATTATGACGCGTTTAATTTTGGTTAAAATTTATGTTATATACTATTTAAAATATGGAATGTTTTCAATTATTTTGTAAATTTTGATATTTTGCAGAGAAAATAGTCACGTTGTTGATAATTTGCATGAATTTGGTAAATACATTTTTATACAAAATATTTTACATTTACGCCAGAGATTGACTCAACTATTTCAAAATTAATGTCTAAATTTATCTTGAATGAATATAATGAATCGATAGACTTGCCCACACGACAAGAAATTAAATCCTCAGGTTGCGTTCTAAAATGTAATTTTATTTTGCCTTTTGTCAAACAGGTTCCTTCCTGATTCTATAATTAGAAAAAATCGTTAAGGTTAATTGAACGGGTTGGTTGGAATCCAAAGAAGAACTCAACAATTTTCAGCAAACATTTTCGTGAGAAGTATAAAAAAAAAGTAGAATAATAAAAAAACATAATTCTACTAATACATTTAAAATTAAAAATTATGTACAGCCCACTTCAATATAAGCGACTTCAATATAGGTTATTTAAGAATAACTCAATAACCATTGGTCTGACCTTGATCAAATTCATATGGGATCACACGAGAACTATCAGCTTTCATATAAAAAAGAATCATCGAAATCGGTATGCCCAGTACAAAGTTATGAGGTAACACACATAAAAAAGAACATACAGTCGAATTGAGTACCGTCTCCTTTTTGGAAGACGGCAGAAAATTTTATTAAAAGAAGTCATTTCGACATTATTTGTACCGGTAAGTATAATATTATTATAATAAGACTTAAAAATTTAACTTTTAAAACTTTAGATAAAAATAGAGACAGATTTTTATACATTATAAAACTGTAGTACATTAAAGATAAAAAAATCTTGAGATCATCCTCTTAAACTATTGTTACGCGCCATTATTAATGTCTTGTACATGGCAACACTAGTTACACTAGCGTCCTCTAGTGTCGAGTAGCAGAACTAGGAGAGTCAAGATCCTTCCAGAAATTTCGGGACCGACATGTACTCGAACATTCTAGATGTCGCTACAGTAGAAAGTTCTGGAAACTATCTGAGGCCCTATATAAGGCCGGTATAGACCACGACCAAGGCAGTATTGAATTGGCGATACAAGAGAATACTTCGAAGCGAAACAACTGCGAACTTAAGTGATCAGTAGAATTATTGCGTTTTATTATTAGTGTGTTTTAAGGTGTAATTAGTATCCGTAATTAAAGTGTCAATTTTGGTAAATCAATTGGCAGTTTTTAATTGTCTCGAACCCCAAGCTCGTAACAATTGGTGTCAGAAGTGGGATCAAATATGCCGATTTTACCTAAAGACGACACGGAGGGTATCCGTACCCGAAGTCAACGCCAACAGGAAACGGACCAGAGACGATTTGGTGGTACAACAATCAAACATCGGAGGGCCAGCTGCTAAACACGGAGGCCGGTCCATCATCAGCTACTGCATCTACAGCACCTGATTTAGGTGCTCTGATGATGATGCTGCAGGAACAGGCTCGCTGACAGGAGGAACAGGCCCGTCGGTTGGAAGAGCAACTGCAGCGCGGACAGGAGGAACAGTCCCGCCAACAGGAGGAACAGGCCCGCTGACAGGAGGAACAGGCACGTCGGTTGGAAGAACAGCTGCAGCACGGACAAGAGGAACAGGCCCGCCAACAGGAGGAACAGTCCCGCCAACAGGAGGAACAGGGCCGTCGGTTGGAAGAGCAGCTCAAACGCAATAAGGAAGAGCAGATACTCCTCATAAAAAACCTTCACGCTACCTTCGGGAAAGAGATAAGGGGGGTAAAGGATAAGGTTGCTCAATATGACAACCGCCTGTCGGAAGCTGAAACCCGACTCGACCAAGTGTACAATCGGGTGGATAATGTGATGGCTGACGTGAAGAAAACGCTGGACGACCTCAAACTTGGGGATGGAGTTACAGCTCCCGTGGTAGTTACAACACCTTCGCTACTTGGATTCAAAGTGCCGCCGTTCGACGGGACTTCTTCCTGGTCGGCCTACAAAATCCAATTCGAGGCTGTCATGAAGGTGAACAGCTGGAATAAAAGTCAGGCCATGACTGCTCTCACCCTAGGCCTGCGCGACCAGGCCTTAACTGTTCTGGAAGCTCTCGGTAAGGAAGTGACTTACGAGCTCCTTGATGCATTGGAGGCGAGATATGGCGACGCTCACCTGGAACACGTCTTTCGTGCGCAGCTCCAAGATCGCGTGAAATGCAGTAACGAAAACCTGCAGCAGTGGGCCCTTGAGGTGGAGAAGCTGGTTCGAAAAGCATACCAGTCTGTACCTGCGCTCATTGTAGGGAACCTGGTGCAGACATTCATCGACGGCATTCGTGACCTTGAAGTCAGAGCTGCTGTGAGGCTCGGGCACCACGAGACGCTTAAGGACGCCTTGACCCATGTAATGGAGGTGGAAGCCGTGCGGCAGGATCATCGTTCCCATCGCGTCAGGGAGCTTGCAGCAGCTACAGTTCGCGACCGCAATAAAGGTTACAGCCCTAGGTGCTACGGCTGTGGGGAAAGGGGCCATCTTCGATCCAGATGTCCTAAGCGAACTGCAGAAAGGGAAGGTGATCGATCTCACCGCAACAGTACCGCCCAGCAGCAGCAGGGAAACTGGAGGGTGCTGGCTGATGTTAAAAGAGCCCCAAGGATTTCGATCTCACAAGGCCATAATGGGAACAGCCTAATCATCAAGGGCGAGGTCAACGGAACGCCGTGTATACTGACCATAGACACTGGAGCCTCTCGCACGGTTGTGAGTTCCCAACTTATAGGTCAGTTCCTTGGGGACTCCGCATACAACCGACAATGCATTAATTTGGTGACAGCCACTGGTCAGCGCATACCCTTCCATGGAGAGAAGGAGATGGAGTTGAAGCTAGGCAACATGATCTACTTGCATAATGTCATCATGGACTGCATCCAGGGCCTAGACTTTATGAGGAAGAATTGTAGTGAGATCGACGTTAAGCAAGGTGTTTTGAAATGTAGACAAGAAGAACTTTTCGTGGAAGGGGCGTTACCAGGGAATGTGTACAGCCTTAAGAAGATTGTTCTTCCGCCGAGATCGGGAACGATTGTGCCGGTTAGTCTTCCTCGGAATCCTGGGCAAGCTCATCGTTGTGTACTCGTGGAAAGGGTAGACAATGTCCTTCCATGGAAAGTGGCTCGAACACCTTGGTCAGAACCACCGACATCTCAGGAGTACGTGTGTTGAACCTTTGTGATCAGGAACAGATTTTAGAAAAAGGCACATTGGTTGGTACTGGTGAGGAAGTGGATTGGTTGCGTCGGTGCGAATATCTATCGACTGGGACCCCCAGCAAGGATGGACAAACGAGAGTGACCACACTTTTAGAAGACTGTCGCAGCGTTCTCTCCCCGAATGAAATGGTCAAGGCGAAGAAGTTGTTACTCAAGTACGCCAATGTTTTCTCGTCAAACGAAGCTGACATAGGAAAGACTCGCTTAGTTCAACACAAAATAAACACAGGACAAGAATTGCCTATTCGTCAGCGGCCAAGAAGATTGCCTGTAGCACGTGAAAAGGAAGTAGAAACCATGGTTGAGGGAATGGTGAAGGATGGTGTTATTAAACCTTCATCTAGTCCATGGTGTCCACCTGTGTACTGGTAAAGAAGAAGGACGGCAGCATGCGGTTTTGTGTTGACTACCGCCGTCTGAACGACGTTACGAAGAAGGACAGCTATCCCTTGCCAAGAATTGATGATACGCTGGACATGCTTACAAGGACAAGGAGAAAACTGCATTCTCCACAGGAAAGGGTCTGTGGCAATTTAAAGTCATGCCGTTTGGATTGTGCAATGCTCCAGCAACGTTTGAAAGGTTGATGGAGCTTGTACTTACCGGGCTAATTGGAGATTCCTGTCTGGTTTACTTGGATGACATCATCATCGTAGGCCGTACGTTTGAGGAACACCTTCAAAACCTGGAACGCGTGCTCATGAAGATCCAGAGTGCCAACCTCAAGTTGAGTCCGAAGAAATGCTCACTATTCAAACGGCAAGTTAGCTTTTTGGGGTATGTAGTGTCGGAAGAAGGTATCCGCACGGATCCAGTGAAAATTGCCGCTGTCAAGGATTGGCCGGTTCCAAAAGACAAGACACAGGTTAGAGCATTTTTGGGTTTGTGCTCTTATTATCGGCGATTTGTTAAGAACTTTGCAGATATAGCCAGACCTCTGCACAAACTAACTGAGTAGAAGCGACATTTCGGCTGGGATGAAAGTTGCGATATTGCATTCCAGGAGCTCAAGAACCGTCTGTGCAAAACATCTATTTTGGGGTACCCTGATGCGGGCAAGGAATTTATAGTTGACACAGACGCAAGTGATATAGGACTTGGCGGTGTGTTGTCTCAACGGAATGGTGATCAAGAAATTGTGATAGCGTACTTCAGCAAGTCGTTTTCAAAGCCGGAAAGGAACTATTGTGTCACAAGACGGGAATTGCTTGCTGTGGTAAAGTCCTTGTAGCATTTTAGCAAATATCTTCTGGGGCGGAAATTCCGCTTACGAACTGACCATACTGCACTGAAATGGCTATTGCAGTTCAAAAATCCGGAAGGATAAGTTGCGAGATAGATTGAACTACTGCAGGAATACGACTTTGTGATCGAACATCGCAGCAGGAAATCTCATGGCAATGCAGATGCATTGTCAAGAAGACCTTGCCCTGAAGATTGCAAGCATTGTTCTAGGCAAGAGGGTAAAGAAGTGGTATCTGTGAGGATGCTCAGGACAGACCAGATCAGCAATGAGTGGAAGGACAGCCTACAACATGCACAGCAGGAAGATTCGGACATTAAGCCGATTCTGGAATGGATGAAGGCCAGTGCTCCTAAGCCCAAGTGGAGCGACGTCTCAGCAATGAGTTCGACCACGAAAAGCTATTGGGCCCAATGGGACAGCTTGCTGATTCAGGATGGAGTCCTGTGCCGTAAATGGGAAAATGGTCGGGGAGACAGATGTCATTTGCAAATGGTTGTCCCTAAGGCTAAAGTACCGGATGTTCTACAGCTGTACCATAGTGGTTGTTCAGGAGGCCACCTGGGAGTTAAACAAATTCTACTGAAGATCCGAGAACGGTTTTACTGGGTCCACTGTCGTGACGATGTCGAGAACTGGCGCCGCAAATGTACAAGTTGTGCGGCTGTAAAGGGAGCTCAAACTCGTAGTAGAGGCGCATTGAAATTGTACAATGTTGGTGAACCATGGGAGAGGATAGCCATTGACGTTGTGGGGCCGTTTCCGGAAAGTGAAAGTGGTAACAAGTATTTCATGGTTGTGATGGATTACTTCACTAAGTGGCCAGAAGTTTTCGCCATTTCAAATCAAGAAGCTTCAACAGTTGCAGATTAACTAGTTCATGAAGTCTTCTGTCGTTTTGGAGTACCCTTAGAGATTCACAGCGATCAAGGAAGGAATTTTGAGTCTCAAATATTCCAGGAAACTTGCAGAGTTATGGGTACTCATAAAACACGAACAACTTCTTACCACCCACAATCTTATGGAATGCTAGAACGATTTAATCAGACATTGGAAAGGTACCTGGCAAAAGTTGTGGAAAAACAGCAACGAGACTGGGACAGGCACATACAATCGTTTTTGTTGTCATATCGAAGCGCTGTTCACGAAAGTATATCAGTGACGCCAGCTTTCGCAAACTTTGGGAGAGAATTACGACTGCCTGCAGATCTGATCACCGGAATACCACCTGATGCCCCACGCAATATAACCGATTATGCAAATGACTTGCGGAACAAAATGAATTACTACAGTAGAAGGTTCTGGAAACTATCTGAGGCCCTATAACTATCAAGGCCGGAATAGACCACGACCGAGGCAGTATTGAATTGGCGATACAAGAGAATACTTCGAAGCGAAACAACTGCGAACTTAAGTGATCAGTAGAATTATTGTGTTTTATTATTAGTGTGTTTTAAGGTGTAATTAGTATCCGTAATTAAAGTTTCAATTTTGGTAATTCAATCGGCAGTTTTTAATTGTCTCGAACCCCAAGCTCGTAACACTATTATAAACCCAACTAAATATCTATTTATCAACCAAAATAAATGTATAACCATACTTAACTAACCGCACAGCCTCACGTTCACACTAGTGCAATATTCATAGCATCACGCTATTTTCTCCAAGGGGTTGAGCGGAGGTTCGGATTATATTCCCAAGTCACAATGATAAAACTTTTAGCGTAGTTAGGTATAGATATTTAGTAATGCTTCTGAAGCGTCACCAGACAACCGCGCATGAGACACGTTAGTATAAATTCCACTGTATTTATACTCATGACGTTCGATGCCCGATTCATGCTTTATGGCCGGCGACATTGTGCCGAGGGCTGAAGTAGCGTGATTCATCGCCTACAATGTTAGTAGTAGAGAAGAGGAACTACCTAGTCAGGTCATAAGTATTGTCTCTTGTCACTTGGAGGAAAAGGCGTGCTCAAAGCCTCATCCCAATTTGGAGTCTCTCAAGACATCCTTGATTAAGGCAGCCGCCGATATTAACATGGAGCTGGTTCGTGCTGCGATAGACGACTGGCCGTGCAGATTGAAGGCCTGTATTCAAAATCACGGAGGTCATTTTGAATAAACTTTAGTGTCATAAGAATCTATGTTTTGTTAAGTTCATTTTGGTATATAAATGGTTACATAATGAATAAACTTGTTTCAATTATTTTATATTAAACATGTGACAGAATTTATGACCTGACTAAGTATATATAGATCTGCGAGATTAAGTTGCATTTGCCGCGGTTAGTCCATGAATGAGTTACCATTTTTTTAACATACCAAGATTTAGAGTATAGAGAGTGCATCTGTATCCTTAGACATTTGGTACACTTTATTCTGTTAAGATCATTATGTTTTCAAAGTTCATGCAGCTAAAATGATAACAGGTTTATTATTACTTTATACTTTTCAGGGAGAGATGAAAGAATATAAACATGTCGCATGATAAAGCCTCATAAGCATAGTGGCCTTTAAACGGAGCAATCTTACATATACAACTGTTTCCTACAAGTTTCCTTACTTAAATTATTAAGCTTAAATTCATATTTAAGTTGAATGTTAAAATAAAATTCTATAATGTATTTAATTATTAATTATTACTTGTATGTATATATCAAAAATAATATTGATATGAAAAATAAAGCAGCCCCTATGAACTCCGTGTCCCAGTTTTTTATTTCCCCATCAAAATATTTTATAAAATATATAAAATATAAATAGGTATATACTTAGCTGACTCCAAGTGCAGAGAGGTATAAGACAGGGTGAAGTTATATCCCCCAAACTGCACCGCTGCATTGGAAGACGTTTTAAAGCTTCTGGACTGGAAAGGATACGGTATTAACATCAACGGCGAGATCATCACTCGCCTTAGATTTGCTGACGATATTGTTCTTATGACAGAATCGCTAGAGGACCTTAGCACTATGCTCAATAACCTCAATAGTGCATCCCAACGGATAGGTCTTAAGATGAATATGGACAAAACAAAGATCATGTATAACGTCCATGTCACACCTATGCCGGTAGTTGTTGGAAGCCTGAGACAAATAGTCCAACTAGGTAAGTCGAATTTCGTCCGAGAGGTCAATCGACGGATTCAACTCGGCTGAGCAGAGTTCGGGAAATTACGGCGCATCTTCTCGTCAAGTAAACCTCAAAACTTGAAAACGATATTGTACAACCAGTGCGTGTTACCAGTGATGACCTATAGAACTGAGACTGGTCCTTCACTGCTGGCCGGATGAGGAAGTTCAAGCTACTTGAGTGAGCTATGGAGGGCTGTGCTCGGAGTTTCTCTGCGTGATAAACTTAAAAATGAGGATATCTGCAGTAGAACTAGAGTGACTGACATAGGCCAACGGATTCGTAAGCTGAAGTGGCAATGGGCCAGTCATATAGCTCGAAGAACCGACAACCGATTGGGAAAAAAAGTTCTTGAGTGGCGGCCTCGTATCGGCTGACGAATTGTAGGGCGTCCCCTTACTAGATGGAGTGATGACCTGGTAAGACATGTAGGAAGTCGATGGATGCAGGTGGCTCAGGAACGTGCTTTGTGGCATTCCTTGGGGTTGGCATATTTTCATCAGTGGACTTGTGAAGGGCTGTAATAATGATGATGATAGTTATGTATCTACATATTTATACAAATAATATGTCAAAAAAGAAATTCGGGGAAGCTGTCCATGGCAGTCAATATGTTTCTGCAAAGATCATAGTTCGAAAATACAACTTACCGATCTGATTTTTGAAGAGTTTTTTTTTAAGCTCATCGTTACAGTCACCTGGAATTTTATACATTTGAATTAAAATTCAATAAAAGGCAAAAGAATATGTTATATGATTTTTTTAGCTATTTTAGAACTATTAGAACAATTGCGTGCATTAAACAATTTTTTTTAATCTTTTTACCGCTTCCTTAACAATCATTTTTCGATAGTCTTAGTAAGTAAAATGTACATCACTAGCTATCGCACACAATGACAAATCAAAATTAGTCACGCGTTTTCGGGCGGTCAGGTCGTCTATACGCCAGTATATTCTAAGTCTATGGAAATTTCTGTCGTGTACCTATTATGTATTCCTTATACGAATATATTAGTCACACCTCTAGATTTTGTACATTTTGTATTAAAACTCAACAAAAGCCAGGCAAGTTCAGCTTATTCCAGATAACGTGTTTTTGAATAAATAAAAAATATTATTATTTATTTTAGGACTATCATGGTAAAAATCAGTTAATTTTTGAAGTTATTCAGTTTCGTGTACTAAACAAATTTTTTGAACCTTTTTAGTGCTCATTTTGGTCGCACTGCAATCATTTATCGATAGTCTGTTTAGGTAAAATATACATCACTAGCTAACAACACACACAATGACAAATCAAAATTTGTCGAGCGTTTTCGGGTTTTGGGCTGTCAGGTAGCGATGGCTCGTTTACGGTTTTTCCGTTAACGTTGATTTAAGTTTGTCAACTAGTTAAATTCGTCAACGAGTTAACGTACTACTAATGTCAACTTGCAATGTACGCCGTTAACTCATTGAACGGTTTTAATTCAACGTTACGACGTTCAGTTTTAGAAACAATTTGATTCAATGTATGGGCTTAGGACTGATTGAATACAATTAGCTATAAACCATATTCTACTCAGGCTTATTTAAAATATCATTTGATTCTATGTGTGGAAATCAATTATTATTTACAATTTAGTTTTTTTTAATATAATTTTTTTGTTTTCTTTTTCATTTTTTCGAAATGCAGCCACGATTCACTGTTACCCCCAGAACGTCCCGGAATTTTCAATTTTGTACCTTAAGTAGTCCTATTTTATGCAAATAAATAAAATTAATTAACACAAACAAATTTACACTGTTACTATAAACATTAACTAAAAAGTCTAAACTCTAAGCATTTACGAAAAGCCGCAAATTAACTTCTGACCTTCCGCGCAACTTGTCACAAACTGTCAATCAAAAAATTAAAGAAAGCGAACTTCCTACCGTTGTATAGTATATAAACAAACTAGTATTAACCTATTTCTGTCGGACGGCACGAGCGGGGCGCGCCATTCCAACAATATAGTCATAAGTACTATTCTTAAAATAAATATTTCGAAAATAAACTCTTTTTTAGATTACTCAGAGTTCAAATTCTATGACATGACCATCGCTCGCAATCTATGACGTTATTTTCAACGTAAGTTTTTTAATTTGTTCAGTTCGTTGCGGTAACGAGACGCACGAGCTAAATTCATAAACGCCGTTGACGAATTCATCTAGTTGATTCATAAACGGTAAACGTTAATGCGTTGACAGCAGATCAACGGTTGATTCAACTAGTTCGTTGATTCAACGCCCATCGCTACTGTCAGGTCGGCAAGCATCAATAAAGCCCGCTTTTCACTATGGGATATAATAGACCCCTCGCGACCCCTGCCAGCCCTTCTCAGGGCTGCAATTCTACTCAGCTGCGCACCCATGTCAACGAGGGTTAGGGCGTCCCCCCAAGGCGACGCACACCAGCTCGTCCCCGTTGGTGTGGAATGCAGCGCGCAAAGCGGCGATGGGGACCGCCACCCGTCACGCACAGCCCGACACGGCGGAAGGTGGAGGACGGAGTGCAGAGTTGGCACGTGGAATGTTAGAGGAGGCATGAGAGATAAGACGAATGAGTTGATCGAAATAATGAAAGAAAGAGAATTAGATGTCGTGTGTATGTCGGAGACCAAACGGAAGGGCAGTGGTACTGAAGAGCTCCCTGGCGGGGCGTTAGCTCTATGGTCCGGAGTCCCGGAGAGCGAGAACGCCTGCCAGGGAGTGGGGGTGCTGCTGTCTTCTCGGTTGGTCGATGTTATGACTGAATATAAGTTTGTGAACTCAAGACTTCTCTGGGTTCGCTTTAAATTGGGACTGACGAAGTTATTCCTTTTGGCTGTTTATGCGCCGGTGGCTTCGTCGTCCAGGGCTGAGCTGGAGGAGTTTTGGGAGAATGTAAGAGAAGTTCTAGATTTGGCTAGGGGAAACGAAAGGATTGTTGTATGTGGTGATTTGAATGGATGGGTTGGTACCGCTCGACCAGGGTACGAGTCGGTACTTGGAAAGTTTGGCGATAAAAGGGTTAATGATGCTGGCAAGCTTATACTGGCGGTATGCAAGGAAAAGGGTCTTCTTGTGACAAACACTATGTTTAATCACAAGAAAATCCATATGTATACTAGAGAAAGAAAGAATGAGAGAAGTATGATCGATTTGTTCCTGGTGGATGACCGACTGCGAAAACAGGTTATGGATACGCGAGTGTTCAGGGGTGCTGACCTGGGAACGGATCACTATCTAGTGATTACTAGATTTAGGGGTCTGTTCGCGGGTTGGCGTTACCGGACGACAATGACAGAACCACAGTCGGTCTGTCGCATCCGAAGCTGGAAGCTTCAGGAAACGGATACTAGGGACAAATATCATGCGAGGGTAGCCGAAAAGCTTGACACCATCGATGGCAGAAACGAATGTGTAGAAAGAACATGGCAGAACCTTAGGGATGGAATGGTAAGTGCAGCGGAAGAAGTGTGTGGGACAATAAAAAGAGGCAGTAGTAAAAGAAGAGATGCATGGTGGAATGATGAAGTGAAAGAAGCTGTAAAGAAGAAGAAGAAAGCATGGTTAGACTACTTGGCCTCTAGTAATGATAAGGATATGAGAGAGAAGATGAAAGAAAGATATAAGCTGCAGAAAGTTCACACGAAAGCATTGATTGAGGAAGTGCGTGAAAGGTGTAGAATGGAAGCGGATGAAAGGTTGTCGCACAACTTTAAGGAGAACTCCAAACTCTTCTGGAAAGAGGTTGGAAGGACCCGAAGTGGTGCGACGGCCTTAAGAATGAACAAAGTGCTTTCGAGAACTAATGACGTCCTCTCAGAAAAATCGGACGTCATGCAGCGATGGAGCGAATTTTATAGAGAAATGTATGCGTGTGATGATCTTAGTGAGGGATCCGGGGATGACGCCGTGACTGGCACGCCAGACCCGGACCTCGATGACACTGAGGTCATCAGTATGAAAGAGATTGAACGTGCGATTCGAAGTTTGAAATGTGGTAAGGCTGCGGGACTAGACAGAGTTACTGCTGAAATGGTCAAGTATGGTGGGCCTCGCGTCTGGGACAGCTTTCATCTGCTGTGCAATTTGTGCTGGCGGACGGGGGATGTCCCGGATGATTGGCGATCCGCAGTCATTGTGCCTTTATATAAAGGTAAAGGTTCACATTTTGACTGCGGGTGCTATCGGGCGATCAGCTTGACCAGTTTAGCAAGTAAAGTTTACTCGAAGGTTTTGACACGTAGGATGCAAGAGAAATCGGAAAGATTTCTATGGGAGGCACAATGCGGATTTAGACCTGGAAGAGGATGCACGGATCAAATGTTTTCTCTCCGTATGATCACGGAAAAGCTTCTGGCTGTTAACCAGAAGGTTTTCTGTGCTTTTGTGGATCTTGAGAAAGCATTTGATAAGGTTGTAAGGAAGAAAATGTGGGAACTGTTGCCGGGGTATGGTGTGGATGGCCGATTGCTAAGGGCTGTGCAGTCTCTTTACTGTGACTGTAGAGCCTGTGTGCGGGTAGGGCATGACCTGTCACCCATGTTTAGCGTCCAAACGGGCGTAAAACAGGGTTGTGTCATGTCTTCCTGGCTGTTCATACTGTATCTCGACAGCTGTTTACAAAAGCTGAAAGATAGCTGTTTGGGTGTGAAATTGGGTGACATAAAAGTAAATTGTCTGCTGTATGCTGATGATGCAGTGCTTATTGCACCATCAGAGGCAGAACTGCAGGCATTAGTCACGTGTATGAAAGAGGAATGTGAAATTAAAGGTCTCCGTTTGAATGCTAATAAAACTAAGGTTCTGGTATTTGAAAGGGACGAAGAGAGAACGAAGTGTGAAATATGGGTAAATCAGGAATGTCTAGAACAGGTAAATGAAATTGTATACTTGGGGAGTGCTTTTAGCCGGGATGGAAGATGTGATTTAGATGTGGACAGGCGTGTCGCTGCCGGGAACAAAGTCAATGGTGCCCTGACTGCGTTAGTCAAAAGGCAAGGCGTAGCGAAGAGTGCACGCCTTGCAATACATAACGCAGTGTTGGTACCGACTTTGTTATATGGCAGCGAAACCTGGGTATGCCAGAAGAAGCATAAAAGTAAGTTGAATGCAGTGGAGATGCGATCTCTTCGTAAAATGTGCGGCGTTACTATGGCCGACCGAAAGCGAAACGAAGAGATTCGCAATATGGCAGGTTTGAAAGATGACCTTATCACAAAAATTGATAAGGGCGTGCTTCGGTGGTTTGGGCACGTTGAGCGAATGAGTGAAGACCGAATGGTGAAGAAAATATATAGCGCGAAAGTTAATATTAAAAGGTGTCGAGGTAGACCGAGACTAACTTTCGAAGACCATGTGAGCAAATTGCTCGAAGAGGGTAGGGTCAAGAGTACTCGGATACCTAGACGTGCATGTATGAAGAAGATAATGAATCTGAAAGAGGCGAAAGAGATATGTAAGGATCGTGACACTTGGCGATCTGTTCTCTCTGGCTACCCCGTCAGGGATTGTGCGTGAAGATAAGTAAGTAAGTAAGTAAGAGATATAAATTAATATCACTCACCATACATTTCCTATGGAACCGTTTACACTGAGCTATAATATATATTACATCTCAAGCTATAAATATTTTTTCGATCGACCGAGCGATATTTTCATATTATATTTCGCCCCCTGTGAAAGCTAATCGCGAGATATAATTTATATTTCGGGATATAATATATATTATATCCTATAGTGAAATGCCAGCCTTACTTAAAAAAAAAGAAGTAGTCTACGTCTATGGTAGGTAACTAGTTTTAAAAAAAAAGTCTTGTTTACTCTTTCGTTGACTGCAACGTGTAATTATTATTTTCTCATAGCAAAATATTTAAGTGTGTAAGCAAAATATTTAAGTGTGTAGCTGTTTTTAAAACACAAGGTAGGTAGAGTGTTAGTTTCATATACAAAAACATATCTATTAAGTTTTTAACTGAAAATTGGTCACCCAAGATTTTTTCTTACGGTATTTATTTCCTAAATCATTGAAATTATGAGAGTAACTGGGTATCAGTATGATTTGTTAAAATAAGTAATAAAGTTATTTTAAGAAAAATAAGGAATACATATAAAATATGTAAATGCAAAATGTATATATTTTTTTCTTCCAGTGAAAGTTAATGGATACACTTATCACAAATGATAACTCTGTTCTGAATAGTAATATGGAAAGAGAAAAATTGCTTATGACCCAAAATCCATCTGGTGTAAAATGTGATATAGTTAATGAGTGTCAAATGTTCCTAAAAGCTGAAGATGGAGGAGGAGATGCTAAATTAAATGTTTCTGATAATGTTTCTTCAATAAATGAAGGTAGTTTTGCTTAGTATATGTATGATCAAGTAGTTTTAAGGTCTATCCACATTTTTACACACAGTGATAAGGATATGACAGGGCTGTAAACAAAACTGAATCTTGTAAGCTGCCCTGACTTTTTCATGTCCCTTAAACTGCAAGAGCTTGTGTAGATAGTTATTTATGTGCAATGCTATAATCTAATTAATGAGTTGGTAACCTGTAGTGATAATAGGTTGCTTATATAACTTAAAGAACCAATAACCTATGAGAAAGAGGTTCTTGTAGTTGCTGCATCACATCTACGTACATAGAGTTTAGAGTCACCTGCCACTAGATTTATTAACACCTAATGAGACATGAAATAAATTATTGTATTGTGCAATCTATGAAAGACGTCTTTCATTGAATTTGTAATAGGGACTAGCGACAGTTATAAATGTTAATATGGAGGTAATTCTTAGTAAGACTGGGCAGGCGGGTTGGCAACTGCAGTTTTTTTGTTTCTTAGTTGTTATAAGGAAGATTTTTTGTTTCTTAGCTGCTTTCCATCTTGTGATTATTTTTCTCTCTTTCCTCATTTATCAAAATACAATAATTCAAAAAATATTTCATCTTGTTAAAATTGTACTTCTTGGTATAGAATAGAATAGAATTATTATTATTCATTATAGATTATAACAATACTTATTGAAACTCCTCTAAGCTTTACTACTGGTTCGGAAAAAATACTGTTCTGGGAAGAACTAGCAAGAAATCCAGTGTAGTTTAGTAGTAGTTTTTAAAGCATAATTTACAGTATAATATTTTATATTATTAGTATAAAAAGTTTAAAAACAGCATGGTAGCAATCACATAATTCCCAGGGGTTATTAATCATGTACTCTTTAGTAGTATAATAACTCTTACTAAACAATTTTTGCTTTATAAAAATTTTAAACCTTTTGATATTATAAGGCCTGCATATTTTTTAAAACTTTCTTGTAAAAGTGTATACATTGTCCTATGAAGGAATTCTGACTCTTTGGAATTGAGTAACTGGTATAATGAACTTGTGCTTGTTTCTACTATTTACAGAATGTACATCACTAATTTTAATAAAACTCTTTTTGTTTTTGTGTACATATATTAATTTTTCGTAAGTATATTGAGAAGTCTAAGTTAATATTTATGTGTTTTTGTTTCCCTCTGGGACGATACATGATATTCCTCACAGGTCAATATGGAATATTTTAACTTAGTGCTGTTTAAATTATAGGAAAGCAAGATATTGGGATGTCTACCCATAGTCAAACTAATAAAGAATCTTCTGGGAAAGAAATGGAAGATTCTAAGGAAAGCAATGCTGATGGAAATGGTATTGAACTTGAATAAAATAACTTTAAATTTTAACAACAACTGTGGTAACTTACTTGAACATCTATGTATCTATTTGCAGAGGAAATGCCTAGCACTGTTACAGTTTTGGATACTCCTGATGGAGGCAAAGTATATTTAGTAGGGACAGCACATTTTAGTATTAAATCTCAAGAAGATGTTTCTAGGGTAGGTAAATATTTGCTCAATTTTGTGTTAAATGAAAAAGTTTGTGCTAATCTTTGTTTTATTTAGGTTATACAAGAAGTGAATCCTCATATTGTTATGGTGGAGTTGTGTGAACAGAGAACAAATATCCTACTTTTAGATGAAGAGATTATTTTAAGAGAGGCCAAGAATATAAACTTCAAAAAGATAAGGTGTGTGTGTAGTTGTCATATTGATCTTTGACTTGTTTTTCTAGAGGTATTGATTTTGTTTCTTTGTTCATATACAGGGCAACTATGGCTCAGAATGGAGTATTCAACGGTTTAATGTATATATTACTATTAAATATGTCAGCACACATTACTCGTGAGTTAGGTATGGCTCCTGGTGGAGAGTTTCGCCGAGCTATGGCAGAGGTATTTATTTTTCATATTTAGTCTTTGGCGTAAAATAGCACCTTAATACTGCTGTGTTTTGTGTACATGGTGAGTGTAGAAAACTGGAGACCCTTTTTAATGGAAACAAGGCATTCCATATAAGTCCTCAGGAGTGACAACACATCTGCAGTTTTATTTTTAATTGAGGATAAATGTAGATGTTATGGGCCACAGCATACACTTACCATCAGATGGACTGTGTGCTCGTTTGTCACCCTTATTATATATAAAATAATATAAGTATCTTTAAAATCATATGTGGTAAAAAAGGGAAACTTAATTTGAAGATGTAATATATCTAACGAAAACACAGGTATAATTTCAGTTATACAATGCTATTCAAATAAGAATAGGAATGACCTTGCGCCATATTGTGACATCTTAGCTGTTAATTTAATCTCACAGATCCTGACAATATATTGGGCCAACTTAGTCAGAGCTATGGTCAGGCGTAGGTCAATAATTTTTTTTGGTTCTTAAAACCAGGCTCTGTTAATTAATCTATGGAACCAATGCTTCTTTAATAACAGCGCCGTTGAATAAACTACATCGGCTTCGCAGGTCGATGTAGCACTTGGCACACCGTGTAGATGTTGCTGTTACAGAATTATTTCATTAGTAGAAAAACAACATTTAAAATCAATAGATGGATACAAAATCAATAGGTGAGTACTCCTATTTTAGACGTTTTAAAATAATTTGGCAACTTTAAGGTAGAAATCTTTTAAAATAAATTTTACAAATTAAGTAATTCTGTAAAAGCGCCATCTACACGGTCTGTGTAGTTCTAATGGTAAAGTAGCATAATGGCAGATAATAGTCATTTCATGTAAATTATCATAATTTATTTCTCGTATAATCTTTATTATTATTATTATTAATTATTATTTAATTCTCGTAATTTAGTAACGAGACTAATTACAATACATTTTTTAGAATTTTAGCTGTCTATCTGTCACAGTGGTTTTTCACTGATGCAACGTTTAGATACTCGCCGAGCACAGACGAGTAGGCACGAGTACGATGTCAACGCCTTGTTCGTGTGTTCTTGCTATTACTACTCGGCCTGAGTATTCGCCTGTCCTCCACTCGATGTCGGTTTTTTGGCACAAGTAAAAGGAATGCTCGTGTGTATTTGAATCGGTGTTTAAATACTCGTCATTATTCACTTGACTGTGAACTTTTAAACTTTAATTTTCTTATAAAATAAAATAAAAACCTACCTACTGTGATGGATTGGTCTCCCCCATGGTTCGCTGGGCAGGCGGATCGGCAACCGCAGATTTTTTATTTTTTATTAGAAAGACGCTGCCGCCTATCTGCTATTTTCCCTCTGTCGTCTCTTACTACACCCACGGTTTCTATGTGTACAAGAGCAACTATTGTAATAAATTTGATATAAGATAATTTTACGCCGTTTGTTCTTAATCATCGGCTCCTCCCGTGCTAAAAAGGATTTACATTAATTGCCTCGCTTGGCAGACGGACTGACGATCACAGTACCAGGCGTCTCACACTTGATGCTGCTCCTTGCCGCGGTCTGGATGTTATACTACTATCCTAGCGTAAACGAGATGGTTATGCTGCCACCTATCAGAAGTATTAAGATCTTTTCGAGGTTTGCCATAGCCGTCTTTTGCGATACCCACGGTATGAAATGCAATAATGGAAATGGGTGCTCTCACGCGGTTATCATCGGTCTCATCGGTGGTTATTGTGATTAATAATTATAAATAACATTTCAGGCCAAAAAGATTCCTAATTGTATTGTGCAACTTGGTGACAGAGCGATCGACATTACATTACATAGAGCTATAGCATCTCTATCTTGGGGACAGACAATACGATTTATATGGCATCTTCTTACATCTAACAAAAGTATTAGGTAACTTAAAACATTTTTATTGTGTTGCATCCCTAAAAAGTTATCAGTAGCTCAATGGTTAACCACTTATTATTTGAAATAAATATTTTATAAATTAATAAATAATATTTTCCTGTGGTCACTTTTGTGGTATGTGGGCACACGTATATGTAATGTAACATTTGCATTAGGTAAATTATATTAATACATATAATTTTTGCATATTTTCAAGACAAGCAGAATATATAAAATTTCTGGATGAGTCATTATTATAATCATTACACCATATCAAAGTCCACCGCTGAAAATAGACTTACCCATAGATTACTTCACAAGGAGCTTATTTGACCTAATTGCCACACTTGGCACCTTTTTTGGTAACCGCAATTTTTTATTTTCGTGCTGTTGTCAGAAAAATGCTACTGCTCATATTTTGGTTTGTTTCCCTCTGTTACTTGTACTATTATTGATTCTGTGCCTCTGTCACATCTTACAAGTGGCGGCACTTAAGTCTAGCGCTGAACGAAGCATGAAGGGAACGCGCACGACTTGAATTGCACGAATACGACTGGAGAGCCAATTAGCGCGTGCGAACGATTCGTACGAGCCAATCAGCGCGACTTATGCGCAATAACGATCACCGCTAGACTTTCGTGCCGCTACTTATACGACATACTCGGGACGAAATATGTTAGTGGATACTCTTACACCGCCACTGTACTTGATATCTTAAATTTGAATTGATATATGTTAATGTCTCGATCACTTTTATGGCGCTATTGTAATTTGGGTTAAAACGGTGATTTTACTATCATGTCGTTTATGGCTCGTGTAAAATACTCTTACGGAAACCGAGAGATTTTTGTAGCATTACCAATAAGGTTGACATTATAATTATATAGTCATAATATCAACCTTATACTTAATCTTTTCTTAACAGTTTTACCCTTTTGATCTGTCACTCTAGAGTCTTCTAGAAACTGACTTTACTTACTCTATCACGTTTTCACTCTTACAGTGTGGAAGAAGTAGAGAAATGCAAAATGAAGAAAATGTTGGACGATATGCTGGAAGAAATGGCGGAGGAATTTCCAGCTCTTAAGCGCGTATTTGTTGTAGAGCGTGACATGTATCTCTGTCATTCACTCCAAATAGCTGCTTTACAGCCTCGTAAGTATCCTTTTAACCTTATAATAGAATGTAAATTTTTCTTATCTTATGTCTTAGGCGTGTTATGCACAAATTCGGAACGGTACAACATTTACCCGGTACAACTAGGAGGCTGTGTAATTTAATGTGTTGATGAATGGCCGCTGATAAATGCGCAAATGAACTTGTGAGCCCGGGTGTTATCTTGTGAACAAAAAACAATATTTGTGAGTTTGCTATTCCAGATAAGAGAGCGAGCTCATAGCCGAAGATCTTACCGACGGAAGGACTACTAATTTTACTTTGGGATGGTAATGCTGAAGCCACTTAAACATATACATTACAAAGAATCTGTAGCATCATTATATGTTAAATGTCAAGAAAATATTGTAGTGTACTACAGAAGACAGGATAATTATTTTTATTACTAAAATATTCTAAAACTTCGGAAAGTCCTTTAGCTATTTGTTTTTGTTTCTATAATATATACTGATAATAGTTGGCCATGAATATGATGTGATGTACCTACTTGCGTTTTGGCTTATTCATAGCTCTGTATCTTTCGACATTGTTGTAACTATAGATTAAATATGAAGAACAATTGAATTGCCTTATATATTTAGGAATAACGTGATGGCGATTTATTCGACTGTTTTCTTATCTTACGAATACAGTAGGAAGCTAATAACGTATATAAATTGCACAATTAACGCATTTCTTTGTAATGTCCAAGAAGACACGTATCCATACGCTGCATCTTATACGTTCCTTTTGTTCTTTTCTTACACAACAACGGAACAAAAGAGAGTTCGGTCCGTCTAAAACTATCCAGCTACTGACACCTGATCCAACTATTAGAATAAGATTTATGTATAATTATTAAAAGTCAATGCACTTATGCCTAGGCCCGTATTAATAAACGTTATTCAACGACGAAGTCAAGTGCGTAATGATTTGTTACGCCCTCTTTACGATATCAGCATCTCAAGATCGTTGCTAATTAATAAACACATAAAAACAGTATCTCAAAACGCTGTACTTAGGAATACTGTTCTGTGAGTTTACGAGTTTCGTTTATTATCAGTGTGGCACTCAGCTGATATCGTAAACTTAAACTGCATCTTGAGATATATTTATTAATAAGATCATAACCTCAAGATTGTACTCAAGTGCGTGTACTTGAGCTGAGCAACGTTTATTAATACGGGCCCTAGATTAGATTCACTAGGTATTATTAATGCTGGTATAATAGCCGTTAATAATCATAATTATATTATTTAAATATACTGTTAATTATAGATTAATTTGTGCTTGTTTTATGTAATATAGAATAGCTTATTATCATAGTACTGAATAGAGGTAAGAGAAATAATAGGACGAGTAACAAACTAGTTTATAGTCTGAAATGACCTATCATAGGGCAGTCTTGAAAATGTTCGAGCAGACAGAAGACTATTTCGCTATTACAGAGACAATTTTCCTATTTTCACATTTTTTTAATAGGATAAGGGTGACAAACAGCATACAGTCCACCTAATGGTAAGTGGTTGCTGTGGCCCATAAACATCTACATCTATCTTGGTTTGTGAATTAGAATGCAGCTGCGTTGTCAGCCGTGAGGACTAAGATAGAATGCCTCTTTTCCAGTAAAAAGGGTCTCCAGTTCTCTACACTCACCATACGAAACACAGTAGCATTAAGCTGCTATTTTACTCTGTATTCTGTGAGAGCGTGGTCCTTCCCCAATCAAGCCGACCCATTCGCGCTACAACTATACTATTAATATAGCTGCAGTATGGCTCTACCACATATTCTACATGTGTCTGAAAATGTAAATCTTTATTAAATGAACATTTGATTTTTCTGGTATTTGAATATATTATGCCGGTAACATAACATTTAAACATCTTGTGGGTAATTCATCAGGCTGGGTTCTGTGTTAATAAGTATATAAATCTGGTTAACATATTTTCAATAAAAGCTGTTTTTGTTCGTGCAGGTAATGAACCATGTCGAATAGTTGGTGTTGTGGGCATTGGCCATGTGGCCGGCATCGTGGAACATTGGGGCAAGGTCACACCGCAAGATATAACTCCCTTACTTGTGTAAGTATTTTAAATTATTAATTACTAAGATTGGGCGTTAATAAAACATTTGATTAGTCCAATTCACTGAAAGCAAATATCTAAACTTTTTTCCAAATAACTTACTACTAACCTAACCTGAACATGCAGGGTGTGCCCTGCTGATTAATGAATGAAGCTGTCTATTGGTCAACAAATGTTATACATTTGAAAATGCTAATCTCTCATAGCATATAATGGAGTTGGAAAACGATATTACCGAGGGTATAAACTCTGCCCTCTCTTAATCTCCTGGATTGCTTGGAGGGTATGGATAATCGTTAAAGTCATGCCCCCCGACTGTTCCGCATTTTTGAGAAGGATTATATTGAGCAGTTAGGATTTAAAAAAAATAAAGCAGTTGAGTTTTTTTTATAGAATAAGGGAAACTAACGAGTATACAGTTCACTTAATTCGATACTGTGGCCCATAGACACATACATCGATTAGCGATGAAGAATCAAAATGCAGATGCATTGTGACGCCTGATGACTAAGATGGAATGCCTCATTTCCAGTAAGAAGGGTTTCTGGTTCTCTGCACTCACCATAAGAAAAATAGCTGCCTTAAGCTGTTACTTTACGCTGGTATTCTGTGAGATCGTGGTTCTTTCCTGGTCGAATCGATCCATTCGTGCTACAACCACAGCAGCGTGGCTCTACCGCGTACAAAATAAATAAATAGTTTAAAACCGTTCTGCTTTAACATTTCCCAACACGCTGTTATTAACAAATATTGGTGCAGTATCCCCCCTCCCTCGCTGTCCACGCGCATTATCCGCGTGTCGGTGCGCGTGGCGTGCGCGGGCGCACTCGTGTACGCGGCGTACAAGTTCTTCCCGCGGCGTTGGCTGCCCTGATGACCCACACTCCTTTCTTTCACAAACTGGTATGTATGAGATATCTTTTATACTTTTTATAAGACAGTAAAAAGTAAAGTTACAGGCTATATACATCCTATAGCCAGTGCTTGACAACAGCTGGAAGTGGTGATGAAGCCCTAGATGGTAAATTGCACTGTCTAATCGTAACAAAAGCTTATTCACTCTTGTCTTGACGTTTTTTTTATAGGATAAGAGTGACAAGCTAGCACACAGTAGACATCCACATCAATCCTCCATTACGAATCAAAATGCAGATCTGTTGTCACCCGTAACGACTAAGATGGAATGCCTCGTTTCCAGTAAAAAGGGTCTCCGGTTCTCTACACTCACCATATGAAACACAGCAGCGTTAAGCTGCTATTTTACGCTGGTATTCTGTAAGAGCGTGGTCCTTCCCCGGTCGGGCGAGTGTAGTTATAGTTTCACCTAAAGTGGTTAGAGTGTATTCTTGACATCATCATCATCATCATCACAGCCCTTCACAATTCCACTGCTGAACATAGGCCTCCCCCAAGGAATGCCACAAAGCACGGTCCTGAGTCACCTGCATCCATCGACTTCTTGCATGTTTTACCAGGTCGTCACTCTATCTAGCGGGGGGTCGCCCTACACTTCGCCTAGCGGTACGAGGCTGCCACACGAGAACCTTTTTTACCTATCGGTTGTCGGTTCTTCGAGTTAGATGGCCGGCCTATTGCCACTTCAGCTTACTAATCCATTGGGATATGTCGGTTACTCTGTTTCTACTGCGGATATCCTCATTTCTAAGTTTATCACGCAGAGAATCCCGGAGCATAGCCCTTTCCATAGCTGCTGTATGTATATGACGGCTCCATGGCGCAGTGACTTAGCAATGAATTGTTGCGCTGGGGGCCGTGGGTTCGAATCCCGCACGGGACAAATATTTGTATGGCCTACAAATAATTGTTACGGGTCTGGATGTTTGTCCTCGTGCAATTTATGTTTGCAAAGAACGTTTTTAAAGAAAATAAAAAAAATAGCTTGCTGAGCGGCCTTGAGCTTTCTCATACGGCCAGCAGTGAAGGACCACGTTTTAGTTCCATAAGTCATCACTGGCAGGCAATATGCACTGATTTGTACATTGTCGTTTTCAAGTTTCGTAGTTAAATTCTTGACATGGGCGCGTATAATGAGCATAAGAACGTCAAGTATGAATGAAATAAAAATTACTTTTTAGAATAGATTTTTTTTGAATTTTTGAATTTCGGTCGTCGCTGTACAAGATTATAGTGCCTGAGTGTATACGCAAATACAGAAGCACTTATATAGTAATACGAAAACACCGCCAAACCTCTGCTTCTACTGAGACCACGTCACGTCACGTCACACTACTGAGACGTCGGTGACCAAGCCTCCGCTATCACCCCCCCCCCCCCCCCCCTCCCCCAACACCAGGCGGGAATCCTTATATTATATCGGTACGGTCTTGAAATGCTACGGCGTTGAAGTTTATAATAGAAAAAGTAGTCTAAATGAAAAAGAGAAACGGATCTGCCTACTATAATAGCTTCTAAAACGTTAGGGTCGTACAGTGAAATTTTCTATAAAACGTGATAAAGTTGCAACCTCTCCAACTCGCAACAGGAATTCTTTTATTTCTGAAAGGGTGTAATGTTGTGTATGACACGCTCAAAATACATTTCATGTTACAGGTTCACTGAATGGCTTGTGGACCTTCTCGTCGTGTTATATTATTATATTCTTATTATTTTTTATGATAACATCTTTACTTAAAGTCGCAATTAGTTATCGATTTTGGTAAGCATGTATGTGCTCATTTTCTGTGTATAATTAAAATTTTAATAGGATTTGAAAGCAGTGGGTAATTTATGTTAAAATGAAACCGCTTTTGTTTTTTTAATATAATGTAAAAACAATAAAATTGTTATTAGTTTGCAGTTGTTCTAATATATAAATTGTTTTTATATTGGGATAACATAGTATTTTTAGTTTAATTGTTTCATTTGTTTTATAGTTGTAAAGATATCCTTGGTGTAATGAAGATGTATAAATTTAGGCTCATTTATTTTATGTGTTTATATATTAATTATTAAGCTTCACACAAAAGTGTGTAACATCCTGAGGATAAAGAATGGGATTAGAAATTGCTGGTCAATTAACCTGTACTGTCAGCATACAAAGTATATGTAGCAAATAAAGCGTCGATAACGTTACATAGTTATATTAGAAATAAAAATAATGAAGTAACTAAACAATTGTGTCAATTGTGAAATTTTTAGTTATTAGAGAAATCTGATAATAATAATAGAATCTGTTGAATTGGGTAGTTAAATTTTTAACAAAATAAAGAGGGATCATCAATTTGCAAATAAAATTTGTTTTAGTAATTTAATAATTGAGACAATTAAATAAAACAATTTAATACTTAAGGCGAGGATTTCTGACTTTAAAAGACTTTAACGCTCATCTCTCCGCTAACGTAAGCTTGCGACATTCGGTGGACAAAGTTACTTTATTTGAAACGTTTTTGCTTATTATTTGGAATTACAGTATCTGAATATAAATATATCCGATTAAGAAACTAATTCAATAACGTGAAAGGCACGTTATACTATCGGAAAATATTAACCGTAACCACGGCTTAAAAAAAGCGAGAACTCGAAGGTCAAAGTATTTCTCGGCGATAAAATTGTATATTTTTATATCGCTATTGATAGTATTTTAAAAATCATTTATCCGAGTATATACTATTTCACAAAGTATCAATTTTCAAGCTTCAAAATCGTATCTAAAATACGCGATATATTGTTCAATCTGACCTTAATGTAATATATTAGACAGTAATGTTCTGTTACTTGGTCCTGAAGCTAGAAAGCAAAAACAGGCTTATCGCAACGCGTGAATGATCTTTTTTGTGGTCGTTACCGGCGGGTGGGAGTATTGACAGCAAGAGTTTTAAAGTGGGAGGCAATGCATTTATAATCCCACTCTTTGTCAGCGCGGGAGTATGGGACAACACTTTAATAATATTTTAACACTCATTCCCCTTTATAAGATTCTGCAATTTGGGTTTGGTGCCTTGTAACAGATATGAAACCAACGCTCTCTTCAGCTTTCATGATATTCCCAGTTTTGTATTTGTTAAATAAGCCTCACAACGTTATAAATAGCTATAAGAATACATTCAAGTGTAAAAGATATTGCAAGTAAGGGGCAAAGTTCATTGAAAAATGTTTTATTCACCGTTACAATTGCTTGTATTAAGTATGAAGCCTATACATGTGAATTTAAAACAGATCTTCAAAATTCATTAGTTAGCTCATAATACTTTAAAGGTAATAAGTATTTACTTTGTACACAACTAAAAATGAAACATATGGCATAAAGTCGTTAAGGGGCCGCCTACACGAGCGAGGGAATCGTGGCGACATTATCGTCGTGCCACGTATTTCTATACACTCCTTTAGAACGTGTCTACTCATGGCGATGTTGACGTCATCGTATCGCCACGTGCTCGTCACGAAACATGGCGCTCCCGCAGCAAGTGCGCGTGGCGAGCGCGCTCAGCTCGCAAAACTATTGCACAACGCTTCGTCGCGGAAACGTGGCGATTCCGTTACGAGTCGTCAGAGACACGCGCCGATTCGCAACGAGTCTTGAAATGGAAGCGGCCCCTTAATTATACGCACCTGCTTAAAATCAGTAAGTTGTTGTCATATTAGAAATTGGGCCCAGAGAGTGCCTTTATTGATCTAATATTAGCATGCTAGTTCACATTACTTAGGTGTTGGGTTTCATAGCACATCTCCATTAGCAGTAGTATAGTTTTCTCAAAGTTTAGGATTTTTAAATCGACCCTCTAGAAATCTCTAGTTTTCAGATTATGTGGTGACATTGTAAAATGGGTTTTTAACAGACTTCAAAAAGGCAGTGCTTTTCCGTTCGAATGTTTCTGTTTGTATGTATGTTACGCGTTATCTTCGGAGATTGCGAACCGATTTTGATGATTCTTTTTTTATTAAGTAGGTTATACTTCAAGTTTTGTTTTCTCCAAAGTTCCCATATAAATTTGGAGAAAACAATTCCACCCCTAAGGGTAGCAAATAAATAACTAATTTTTTAGCAATTTCAAGTTGGTTTTTACTTTTTGTTATAAGTTATAATTATTAAATATGCTTTAACATGAGGTACAAGTCGCGGCACGTAAGTCTAGCGCTGAACGAAACGTGGAGGGGACGCGCACGAATTAAATTGCACGAATGCAACTGGAGAGTAATTCAGCGCGTGCAAATGATACGTACGGGCCAATCAACGCGACATGCGCAATAAGCCAATCAGTGCGAGTAATGCACAAAAACGGTCACCGCTAGACTTTCGTTCCGCTACTTTTTATATTGCGTGTTTATAATTCGGTTCATAAATAATGTAAAACTAAACTCAAAATTATTTTTTATTACTTTATTAATTTTATGAAATATTTTTGTCATCATTGTGAATTACATCGCGACTTGACATTAAACAACAACATTACAAGAAAATTATTAAAAATTATTATATAGACATTTAGGCAACGGCCTAATGGACAGTGATTTAAATTAATTTAGAAATCAGGCTATTTGTCAGGACTCTTCAATTTTCTATCTGGTAATCCTACCCATGGGACTTTAACGGAACTATAAAAAGTTTTTGCTTATCTTGAATGCTCTAATTTCTTGGTGCACTTATTTTCAGTGTTTTTGTTTGAATGGTGATCCCATTAGTCGATATTAACAATAAATGTTAAGTGCAAGTACCTACTGTAATGGCTGTAGATAGTTTTATGAAACATTAAAACGTAATTATGAAATTTTGTATTGCTATTATAGTTAAAAATGTTGAGTATATTGTAATAAATTTATACATAATAAATTATATTTAGAATTAACTAAAATTAGAATTATTCTATATACATCATTTACAATTTATAAAGTTTTTGTAATTTTCGTGTATTCATTTCTTTCTAAGTTTTGACATCATAATGTTATTTCGGGACTGTGATAATTAAAATTTCCTGCCTTGATTTTTCTTTCAACTACAATTAATATTCTTTTTAAATTTGGAATAATTCGTATATTATATATCTTTTGATTGAAAATAAATCACAGTGTCAGAAGAATCTTATAAACGGATAGTAGTAGGAGAAATATAGAGTATAAATATGCTTTTATTTTGTGGAAAGTTAGTTAAGTTTGGAAAAGTTAGATGAAAGATAATTTGTAAGAAGTCTCATATTTTTAATTCCAGATCGTAATAGGTTTATTAATAAAATAGAAATCAGAAATATAATAGTATTGTAAATTCTTGTTTCTCTTTCAATTATTAAGGTAATTGGTTTTTTGGAATCGTCTCACGTTGTTAACATGAATATGTTATGTTAGAAGTTGTCTTTCAGAAATAAATATTACATAAAATTATGTACGTACTGTGTTTTTATTTTATCGATTGTACAAACCGGGACTTCCTTTAGTGTGAATGACTACAAAATTACTCTGTGAAGAATGATGTAGACAGAAGGACAGTGACAGGAAATTTGGTAAGAAATTAATAAATAAATACTCATATTGGAAGCAGTAGTGGAAAAAAAATATCGATATAAATCGAAACAATATTTTTAAACAGTATCGAAAAATATCGATGTATCAATATATCGTCATCATTTGCAAGATGTAAGGATAAGGCCCAAAATTTAAAGTTACTGACGGCAAAAACGTCTGTTACGGTTAAAAACGACAACCACATGAATGCTTTTGTAGAAAAAATATTGACGATATATATCGATATTTTTGTCAGAAAATATTGATAACTATATCGATATTTCTTGCCCAAGTCCAGGAAGCAGTGAGGCAGGACAGCAGTATGATATTGTACCAAGTCTAGATATATACAGTTTTGAAATAATACAATGAGTGGTGGTAGGCTAGGGAAAGCTTTGCTTACAAACCTCACTTAGACCGATCTCCGATGCTGGTCTGTAAGAAATTTGAAGAAAAGGTTTTAAACGATACTGTCGTGTTGTGCCCGAACGACAGACTTAGGCAATCAAGAGAGACAATTGATTGGTCACGGCTGCCAGTCTCACGGAGACTAACCATCTGCGCATGGTAGGATTATAGTGCCCGGGTGTATAATAATAATAATAATTTATTGCTTTAAAATAAGTAGTAAGTTGTTACAATATTGTTGGGTACTCTTTTTTAAGTAAATACGAGTAGTTAACTGTAGTAGAGGGACCCGCTCTTCCGTAGTACAATTGTATTACTACATAAAATTAGAATTAAATTTAAAAAAATCTACACAATTTAAATGTGTACAAAGTGTGTGTGTGTGTGTGTGTGTGTGTGTGTGTGTGTGTGTGTGTGCGTGCGTGCGTGTGTGTGTGTGTGTGTGTGTGTGTGTGTGCGTGTGTGTGTGTGCGCGCGCGCGTGCGTGTGTGCGTGCGTGCGTGTGTGTGTGTGTGTGTATGTGTGTATGGATGAGTGTGAGAAGTCTGTAATTGTGAAAATTTATAAGGCACTGTTTTCTAGAAGGGATTGAGTTTCTTCATAAGTAAGTTTTCTTAACCAGTTAACTACAGTCATGGTAATTCATAGGGTAAATATTGATTTTTTGGTTTATTTTATTATACAACGTGTCCTAAAATTCAACGATAAACGGGCACCAGAGGGTGGACCTGCTCATGACTACTCGAGAAAAAATAAAAAGGGAAAAAAATCTAAATCGTGTTTGAAATTCTTCGAAAATCGATACCCCGATATGGTATTTTTAACTACCATGAGCAAATTTTTAATTTTTTTTTTGTATCGGCAACCTTAGTAGTACTGCTGTCTACCACTTTATAAATTCCAGAATACATGTAGTTTTTACACAAAAATCAATCAAAATTATTTTTCCCCTAAAATTTTGAAAGATTTTTACTTTCACTCATCGTGGTGTAAAAAAAAGTACTGACACTACTATGGCAAGTTTTTTTTTAAAAATTGACGCAACTAACCAAGATTCTAAAATGGTATAATACTCTAGAAAAACTTCTGTGTGGCACAGGATTTTTGCTGAAAAATGTTGCATTAATCAAAACAAAGGGTATAGGTAAATATTTACATTTATTTTATTTTTTTTGCATTATTAATATTACAGTAAATGTTCGAATTGTTGGCCACCGGCATTAATACAGGCATGGCATCGCCTTAAAAAAGATCTTTTTATTCGACGTGCATATCTTCTACCCTTGATAATATCCGTAGCCTGAGTGATATTTTGGCGAAGCTCATCCAATGTTGAAATGAGTTTTGAGTAAACCCTGTCTTTGAGACAATCCCAGTAGAAGAAGTCCAGGGGGTTTAGGTCGGGTGAACGGGGTGGCCATAAGATAGGACCAAGTCGCCCGATCCAATGTCCTGGGTACTCTTGGTTTAAATATTCTCGCACAAGACGGGCATAGTGGGCAACCATAATTTTGAAACCACATGTTTTGTAAGTCACGCAAAGGCACGTCTTCTAATAATTCTGGCAAGTCGTTTTGTAAAAAGTTCAAATAACTATTTCCATGTAAGTTTCCTTGTAACTCAAAGGGCCCAATTACTTTTCCATTTAATATGCCCGTCCATAAGTTAATCTTGAATTGATATTGGGATTTGTCTTGTCTCATCAGGTGCGGATTGTCATTGCTCCAACTATGTAAGTTGTGAAGATTTAAATAGCCATTTTTCTTGCAGGTTGTTTCATCCGACCATAGAACTTTATCTAAGAATTGGGATCTTCCCTGTGCTTTTGCAGCATCACACGGCAAAATGCGATCCATAGTGGATAGTCCCGCGGTAATAACGTCTGCACACGCCTACAGTGGTATGGGTGAAGCCTGTAACGTTTAAGAATTCGATGCGCAGAACTTTTTGGGATTCCCGTAGCTAGTTCTATGGCACGTACCGAGGTAGTCGAATCGTTTTCTATTTCTTTGAGAACTTCTTCATCGCGTCCCAATCTAGGTCTTCCAGCGTTTCTCCTGGCAGATGGTAAACGACCCTCCGCAAACGCTTGATACACATTAATAAATACTCGATAATCAGGGTTTCTTTGAGCATTTGGGTACCTTTCTCGATACAATCTGCTAGCAGCGTTAGCATTGCATCGGCATTCTCCATAAATGAGATGCATATTAGCGTATTCCAACGGTGTGTACGGTAGCGGCATGATAAACGCTAAACAGTCCAAAATACGCCAATAGTCCAATTCTCAAAACAGTCCAAAATAATGCCAGGTGAGTTCAGTTTGCAGATCACCAGTCCAAAAAGCGAAGCCAAAAGTCGTTAGTACGAGAGCCACATCAATTAAATACGGAACGGTGCACAGTAAACAAAGGAGCAGAGTGTACTGACTGACTTGTTGAGAACACTAAAGCAACTTGTCTACCTGCCCTATTGTTATTAAACAACTAACATCATCTATCTCTCTCTAACGTATAGTCTCCATCTATCTATCGCTCTCTAACTTCTAAATTTTACTGACTACGCACATCTGCAATTCAAGTTCTAAGAACTTGCAACAAAAACCTTTTTTAGCACATAGTGTAGTGTAGTGAAAGTGAACTAGCAACAAAAATTTATGTTCAAAATTTCGGTTCTTGTTATGAAATAGTAGGCTTTTTTGTGGCTAGTTTTCTAAGAGTACGAGTATTATACCATTTTAGAATCTTGGTTAGATGCGTAAATTTTTAAAAAACTTGCCATAGTAGTGTCAGTACTTTTTTTTTACACCACGATGAGTGAAAGTGGACTGAAAGTAAAATTCTTTCAAAATTTTAGGGGAAAAAATAATTTTGATTGATTTTTGTGTAAAAACTACATGTATTCTGGGATTTATAAGGGTTGTGGTATATAGCAGTACTACTAAGGTTGCCGATACAAAAAAAAATAAAAAATGTGCTCATGGTAGTTAAAAATACCATATCGGGGTATCGATTTTCGAAGAATTTTATGTTTTTTGTAATTTCAAAAACGATTTAGATTTTTTTTTCTTTTTATTTTTTCTCGAGTAGTCATGAGCAAGTCCACCCTCTGGTGCCCGTTTATCGTTGAATTTTGGGACACGTTGTATAAGTAAATTGAAAGTCTTGTATACTGTCTTGATGCAAACTTAGTCTTAAATGAATCTTCGTAGGGTACTGTATATTTTCTACGTCTAGTCGTTGATGACGGTTGGTATTTTAGGGAACTATGAAGTTTTAAAACGGTTGCTAAAATGTAAAGTTTTCTTACCGAAAGTAAATTACTCAATTCATAGAGTTCAGTTGTAGAGAATCTATAGGGCTTTAAGAACATAACTTTAATTAAGCACCGTTGAGCTCTTTCAAGCTCAAGGAACCTGGTTTTCACTGCACCACCCCATATAGGAATACAGTAGCCTACCGTTGACTGAACCAGAGCTATGTATATTTTATTAAGTAAGGCCTTCGTCGAGACATGTCGTAGTGACTTAAATATCCAAATAAGTTTCCTGAGCCGAGTTGCCATTAATTCTAGGCGTGAATACCAAGACAGTCTTTGATCAACCATTACTCCTAGATACTATAACCATTACAACTGTATGCGCGAGCACAAGTGCACGCTCTATTCCCTCATTCTCATATTCCGATGGGACCGTAACTGACCCGACCGGAGAGAGATCAGGCGCAAGGCCAACGGCCTTATATGCTTTCCGAGGTACGGGGATGAAACACTGCCAACTTCCCGACTCCGGGCTGCTACTGAAAACTTCTTGACAGTAAAACCGAATAACTGATTTCGGCCAGACCCGGGATTTGAACCTAAGACCTCTAAGATCAGCAACCGCATTTACGACCACTAGACCGACGAAACAATTATTTGTTATGTATGATTATACCTATAAGAAATTGACAAAATAATCATCTCGTATTTCTCTGTTTTTTCCTCCGAAACAGGACCAACTTTTTTCCATCCATTACAGCATATAAATCCAATGCTAAAAACATAGGCTTCCCACATAGATTGCCTCATATGGGAGATGTGTAGTGGCGGTGTAAGAATATCCTACTACCCCATATCGTCCCGTGGGTGTTGAAAGAGACGACAGAGGGAAATTGACACAGGTGATGGGCAGCTACATCTTCTTGATAACAACTCAATGTAATAATAACCTGCGGTGAGTAACCAGACGGGTTAATCAAGAAATAAAGAACAATATGAAATTCAAAAGCATCGCGGCAACAAGGCGCTACTGCGGAAAGAACTTGTGTGAAGAAGCAGCAAGAAACTCACAAGAAAACTCATTTTCTAGACTCAACTCACAAGAGAACTCTTTTTAACATTTGCAGCTCAAATTGCGTTTTCGGAAGATTTATCCAAAAATAAAATATTCATTATTTTGCAAGTAATTCATGGCTACAGCCTTCGTTTCTGGATATTATGTGAATTTGAAATTTTTAGGGGCAACCTTTTTTAACTTGTGGATGGCACTCTTTTGTAAAAAATTGTGAGTATTTTTAATCATGTTGTGGAAAATACTCTCTAATAACAACAAATAATAACACTCATCGCGATCGCCCAAGAACTCAAGTTGTACAAATGGTTCCGAGGAAAACATGTAGTTAGCCACTTGAAACAAGTATCCTACCGTTAGCAACTGATGTTTAATGTTAACCTCTTGGTAGAGAGTAATTGTGTTCTGTGATGTCAACTAAACTTAATCAGGTTATATCGATTCTTCAGGTTAAGAAGTAAAAAAAAGCATAAAAAGTAATTTTTTTACACATGGCTGAGGGCACAATATGCGTGTCATCAACTTCTATGGCACTTGACACGACAGGCGTATCACGAAATATTTGTTCTCGCCACAGATACATAGAAGTTTTCGAATACTGGTGTCGCAACGAATCGGTTAAAAGGCTGGCAACGCATTTGCAATTCCCCTGGTGCTGCAGTAGTTTATGGGCGGCGGTAGTTATTTAGCATCAAAATGACTTTCAATAAGAATTACACATTTAATTCGGTTTTTGAATAAAAAAAAGTCCTCACGGCTGACAAGGCATCTATATTTTGATTTGCAATCGAGGATAGACGCAGATGTCAATGGGCCACAGCAACCACTTACAATCAGGTGAACTGTACTGTGAACTGCTGCTTGTCAACCTTTATACTATAAAAAAAATACGTGGGACTAGTCTGTCACTACTATAGATGTCGCGTTATTTTCTGTGTCTAATATTGTAGGTAAACGCCGTGCTTGCGAATTTTAATTTAAATGATAAAAAGGACAGAATGTTTGACATTTTTTTAATTAATTTTTCTTCACCACTTGCCTATATTACTTATTCTGAACTTTCTCTGTAAATTTGGCTGGTTATGGCAAAATAACCCTGTATACACATTTTTTAATACATCTCTCGAAGATACTGGCTCGAACTACACACAACAACGAAATATAATACAAAATGACAGTCATGAACAGTCAAAATTGGTCAAAATGGATTAGATTGATTACACAGACATACAATAAATAAATACATTACATTTCAAAATTTTCAGTACTATGATGTTATGATGTATAATGTAATAAATTAATATGAGATATCAAACATGTAAAATTCTCGGGTTCTTTTCACATAGAAATATTAATGAAGTCGTAATTTTGAACCGTCATCTATATAAGCGTAATATGTTTTTCAGTTCTTGATGAATTTTAAGTGGGTTTATATCTGCGTAACCCTCATGCTTGTGAATTTACAGCTGCTCCTGTCGTGAAGAGATTTTTCAATAACACTGTTGATTTTAAGTTACCTTCTTCTGCAATGTTATTACAAAATGACCAAGCGGGAAAAATTGTGGTTCTTGGTACAGTACATTTTAGTAAAAAGTCTGTAGAAGAAGTTTCTGAAGTAAGAGAAATTTAATATTATAATTACAACACCCACGACGACAAACAATATTAGTATCCATTTTCACTGAGATTCTTTCTCAGAAAAAATAGATAATATATAATTTACTATATACAATTATTAAGATAATATATTAATAATATATAGTTTACCCTACTTATATTTTTTATTCGTGTAGAAGCGTCAAATTCGTATCCATGAGCAAAATTCCTTAGTCGTTAATGTTTTCTCACGACTCTTATAAAAGCCATTTCATACGGTTCTCCACAGCATTGAAATTGCTGTCGACAACATAGTTCTCAGTCTGAGGTGATGTCCTCCAAAATGCCCATCGTTTCATCAGCAGTAATTCGTTTTATTGCTCCCAAGAGTGGTGATTAAGCAAATTACAAAATTTATCCTTATTTAAGAACGACTCTTAAAGAAGTCTGGAACGTTTTGAAGTTATACATTAACTCACGCACACAAAATTCTGCCTTCAGGTATTTGATGTCGCCCTTTCATGCAAATTATACAAGAAATAACTAAATATAACTCAGTTTATAAGAGCATTGCTATAATATTATAGGCCGTCCGTGTAGGTAATTTTTTCTATTCATTTCTATCGCCAAATAACAGTGCTTGGACTGTTGTATTCTAGTCTGAGAAGTATGGAGACTATAATTAGTCGATTGACCTCTCGGTCGAAGTTGGACTTACCTAATCGGACTATTTGTCCCAGATAAACATACTCGTCAACAACTTCGAGCTTAGTGCTCCCAACAACCACCAGCATAGGTGTGACATGGGCGTTAAACATGACTTTCGTTTTGTCATGTTCATCTTAAGATCAATCCGTTGGGAGACACGATTGTGGTCATTGAGCATAGTGCTTAGGCGATTCTGCTATAAAGACTATATCGTCGGCAAATTGAAGGTGAATGATGTACTCGCCAGTGACGTTAATACCGTATCCTTTCCAGACCAGTAGTTTTAAAACGTCTCCCAAAGCAGCGGTGAAGAATTCAGGGGATTTAACGTCACCCTGTCTTACACCTCTCTGCAGTCTGGTTCTGTACTCGGACAGCCATCGTAGGGCTACTTTACAAATACTTCAGCACTTTGATATACCGACAATAATCTTGGCATCGCTGAAGGGACTGCAGTACCGCCTCAATTTAGACGGAATCAAAGGCTTGCTCATAGTCCACATATGCAAGGCAAAGTGGCAGATTGTACTCTTCAGTCTTCTGTACAATTTGCCGAACGTTATGTATGTGGTCTATGGTAAAGCTTTTTTGGAAAACGGCTTGTTCGGGAGGCTGGAAGTCGTCGAGACTGCCTGTGAGACGATTCGTAATGGCTCTCGAAAACAGCACGTAGACGCGGCTCAAAAGGAAAATCGGTTTGTAGTTCTTCAAAAGGGCGTTGTCGCCTTTTTTGAATAACAAGACCATCGCACTTCTGCTCAATACCTCCGGGGTAATGCCACCATGGAGGACGGAATTAAAGTTTGCAACCTCAGTTTTATATAAAAAAATGATACCAAGTCATCTTTCAGCTATCAATGCATGTAAAGTGACGCAGGGTACATTTGATATTGAATTCTAATACATCGGTGGCCGCTTTTTTGAAATAGCTTATTTACAGTATAACTATACTTGTTCTATGTTCTATACGGCAGTTTTACTACGCAAAAATAACATTTTTTGCACAGCAAAAAAATTTGCGATTTATAGTCACTTTTTTATAGTTTCTTTGCTAATGTGGTCGAGTCGGCAAGCAAGCGACGCCCTATACGGAAATTTATCGACCAAATTGGCGACATAAAAAGATAGGGCAAGTTATGAGTGAGTACCCTTAATTGACGAGCATGTATGAGTTGATATATTAGATACTAGCTGTTCCCCGCGACTTCGCCCGCTTTACTATTGGATTCATGGGTTTTAATTTTTTTGCGCGGAACCCTAATTCTTTTACTTGAATAAAAGCAGCCAAGTTACTCCTTATAACATCAGCTATCTGCCAGTGAAAATCCCGTCAAAATCGGTCTAGCCGTTTCGGAGATTAGCCGGAACAACAGACAAACAGACAGATAGACAGACAAAAATTTTAATAATTGTTTTTTTTTGTTATAAGTACCGTAAATACTTTCATATGCATTTAGTAAAAAGCTGTTATTTTGACATTACAAACAGACACTTCGGGTGCGGTGTTTCATCCCCGTACCTTGTAAAGCATGTAAAGCCGTTATTCCTGCGCCCGATCTCTCTCCGGGCGTATTGGATTAACGTCCTATCGGATAATGAGAGTGAGGCAATAGAGAGTGCACCAGTGTGTGCGCGTACACTCGGGCACTATAATCCTAACCTGGGTAGACGGCTAGTCTTTGTTGAAACTGGCCGCCGTGACTGAAAGTACTCGGTACTAAACGCTTAATTCATACTCTAAGTTTCACAGTCTCTTTACATATAAATCCCCTGGTTTTAGCATAGCAGAATACTACTGTTTCAAAACAAACTACCCAAATTATTAACTCTGAGCACTGTGGTAAATGCGATAGAAAATGCAAAAGGATGCAACATCTCTTCGCAGCGTCAGTGAATCTAGTCGATCAGGAAGAACTCGGTCGTCGTAGATTCATGACGTACTGAGGTGAATATGACCAAGTGAAAAGAGCTAGCACTGAGGTGCCCTGGCCCTGAGATGAGAACAGTATCCCATGTTAAACCGAACTTGCGCCTTATAAAGTTGCAAGCGGTGTGCCGGTGTGAAATACTGTCCCGCTCTACTGAACACGTCAAGCTTTTTAGAGGCCAATTTAGCCTTCCCTTCCAAGTGACTATGGAACTATACGTTACTTGATATGTCGCTACCGAGAATTTAGATGCTGGCCGAGGCAGCAAGAGCAGTGCCCTGAAATTGAGGAGGTACGACAAAGGGTTCTTTTTAGCGGTAAACGAGTAAACCTGTGTCTTCTGAGGATTAAACTGTACTAGTTTTAGTTGTTCCCAATTCGAGACTTTGTTTAATAAAGACTTGACTTCAGACTCAAGTTTGTTCAGGTACTCGACGACGTGTTTCCGAGAAATATTGGCACGGCTGGTGCAAAAAGGCATTACCAGTGCTGTCATCCGTTGCAACATATCATTGATATACAGAAAAAACGGTGTAGGTATTAGGATGCAGCCTTGTGGTACACGAGTATTAATAGGCTTGTAGTCAGAGCATGATGCACCATCTACTAACACCATGATGCTCCGACCTTCTGTAAAACTTGCGATCCAATGGCACAGTTTATAGGGAGTAGTAGTTTATAGTTTATAGCTCATAAGGAAGGATGCATCGAAAAAAGAGTTTTCTGCCAAACCCCATCGAAGGCCTTACCACTACTCTTGGACTCTATTACTTCCGCTCATATATGAAATCGTATTGGAAGTCACTAATCAGCGCGTAGTTCTCAAGGTGTAATCGCTAGCACCTTCTTCTGGCAGTTTATAATGGACTCCATTATTTTGGAGTACAAGAAGGTGCTAGCGATAAGACTGTAGTTAGACGGGTCTGAGCGGTCGCCTTTTCAGGGATCGGGTACACCAAAGCTGTCTTCCATGAGTCCAGGTTAACGCCTATGGAGTAGGAGTTACTGGAAAAGACACGTTAGAACCGATGCTAACTCCGTAGCGCAAATCAGCAGCAATAGGAGGGTCTCCATCAGGCCCACTCGACTTGTTGACTGAATGTTATACCAAATTTTCTCTCAATCTTACTTCCTTCTGTCAACTCAACTTACTTCTTTCAATCTTTCTTCAATCTTACTCCCTACGCTCTAGCCTAATTAGCTTGTGGGTAAATTAGTCCATGGCGGGCGGGTAATGTATTTTCATTTGCGACAGTTACTGTTTTTAGGTAAATTCGAAATAAAGTTGCATACTTATCTGAAATAAACTTCAAATCAGTGGGCACATAAATAATGACAGCGTTTTCTTAGTTACAATAAACGAAGTCAGCGTTAGATTGTCGAAAACAACATTCGCGGTTTACCTACAAAGGAAAGAACTAGTCTTCTCGCCCGCTCGCAGTCAACTAAAGGAGTTGCGAAGAATTGACCGTAACTTAGTGCGTGAAGTCTTGTAGTATACAGGTAGTTTAGTGTACACAAATATATGTATAGAGTGGACCATTAATTATATTAGTGTCGAGACAGCTAGATTAGTTTATTTCAGTTATTTCCATAGCATAATGTCTTATGGGATTTTGCTATGGGGAAATGCGGCTGATTCAGAAACTATTTTTGTTTTACAGAAGAGGGTCATTAGAGCTATTTACAACCTAAAACCGAGAGAGTCTCTTGGAGATAAATTTAAAGAAATAAATATATTAACTTTGGCCTCTCAGTATATTTACGAAAATTTAATGTATGTTAAGTTTTAGTAAAAAAAGTGATGTGCATTCTGTAAACACTAGGAACAAACACAAGCTAGTGATACCAGTTTCTCGACTCCACAGAGTCAGTAATTCATTCTTGGGGCAATGTATACGCTATTACATAAGGTCCCGGAAAGTGTACAGGCTCTCTCTATTAGCAAGTTTAAATGTTTTGTTAAGTTGAAACTGTATAAAAAGAGTTATTATAGTATAAATGAATACATGGTTGATAATAACCCCTGGGAATGAGGTGATCCCTTCCAAGCTGTTTCTAAAATAAATTTTGTACTTATATAGTTTGTACAACTATTATTGTAAAATTTGCTTTAAAAAAAAGTCCCGCTGGGTTTCTTGCTGGTTCTTCCCAGGACAGAGGTTTTTTTTCGAACCAGTGGTAAAGTAAAAAATTACTTTCAATAAGAATTACACATGTGATCTATATTGAATAAAAAATTATTCTATTTTTTGAACGGGGCTTAAAATACCTATAGTTCTTTTTCTATTTTGTTTACAGAAAATATAAAAACTATCTAAAAAAATGTTCGTTATTAAGCTATTTATTTACCAACTTAATAGTTTCCTTGTTATCATTTGACGGAATTTTATGTATCTATTCATTATGTTATAGATAGTGCAATTTCTTAATCCAAACGCAATTCTTGTGGAATTATGTCGACAAAGAGTGTCGCTTTTGGAGCTGGATGAAAAAAAATTTTTAGAAGACGCAAAAAATTTTGATTCTCACAAGTTTAAGTAAGTGTTATTGCGTTAACGTTAGATTTAACAATATTACGTAATAATTAACTCATTTTTATTATCAGAGAAGCAGTCAAAGGACACAAAGGCTTGTCTTCTGGTATGTTACATGCAATGTTGTTGAAAACATACGCTGACATCGCTAAAGAATTAGGAGTTGCTCCGGGAGGCGAATTTAGAAGAGCATATCAAGAGGCAAGCTTAATTATCTGATTATATAGATAGGCCATACAATTTATGAAAATATATTTCTTCTTTTGAAATTATGATTTTCAGATGAAAAAAATTCCTGGCTGTAAATTGTTTCTTGGTGATCGGCCAATACAGATAACAATAGCCAGAGCTTTTCAGTCCTTAAGTATGTATGAAATCGGTCAAGTTCTTTACCACCTCTCGAAAACAAATACGAAGCCATTAGAGTAAGATTATTGATATTGAATGGATTGTTTTATTTTTTAATAGTGTAACATTACTAAAATTATTAATATGTCTGTTGTTTCTAGTAAATATGAATTAGAAAAATACAAAGATAAACAATTTGTACAGTCACAATTTGACGAGATCACAAAGGAAGTTCCAGCGTTTAAAAAGATTTTTCATGTATTCGTCGATGAACGTGATCGATGTCTGGCATTTTCATTACAGGAATGCGTTCGTTCTGGTAAATAATGTAATATTTATGTTCACTCTGGTGATTAGAAATTGTTGTGCCTATAGTTTATCAACTTCTTATATTCTCACTGTCAAATTTAAGGTAAAGTAAAATTGAAAATGCGTTTTGAATTGATTTGGGCGCGGGTCTCGTCTCATTTGTGAGAGGCAATAGCTACTCTAATACCGGTCCATGATCCGCCACGCTGCTGCTCCATAGCGTGCTGGCGGAAGATGTCTTAGAAATATTTTAATTTCTCAGATATGTAGGTTTTCTCGCGATGTTTTCGTTCAACACCGAGTATGTGGTAAATCAGCACATAAAATTCCAATTTAATATTTTACCAGTTCATCGTGTACTGTAAAATATAGACAGCGAATTTTGAGCCTCTTTAAATTTTGATGTTTAGCTCACTGTTTTTGCTTACATTTGTTAAATCTTATATGTCAACAAAATTATTATTATTATTAGCGCTATTTATAGAGTATTCTCATCTGGTTGGGCTGAATAAATATAAAAAAGGAAATGATAAATATACGTAAATATATATATTAAATATACTAACATAAATAAATAATACATAAATAAATAAATATAAGCCCAGCAATATGGATGCCCTCGGCAGGAGCTCCGCAATCTTAGCACCTCATGTGCGGAATTTTCATTGATCAATTATACCATCTGAAAGGTCAGAATTGGCATAAAAGGTCAGTTAGTCTTATTAATTGGTCAGCGTTAGATTTTTTTAATTAATGGTTACAGTTTTTCAAGGTCATTGAGAAATTTCGCGAAAAAAATTAAAAATTCCACCTATGCGCGATCAAGAAGCATTTGCTGATAATTGGTCAGCTTATATAAATATTTGGTCAGTTTAATTTAATTAAAGTTTAATTTAATTTAATTGGGAAACGAATGTACTTGTGCAGAGAAACGGCGGGGGTCTTGCGGGGCAGTGGGCGGCGCGACCTTGTGCCAGCACACTCCACCACAGAATAAATAATTAATAGTACTACGTATAAATAGTTAATAGTACGTTGGGCGGTGCTGCAGTCCCTTCAGCGGTGCCAAGTTGACTGTCGGTATATCGAAGTGCTGAAGTGCTTGTACAGTAGGGCTACGATGGCTATCCGAGTACAGAACCAGAGTACGAAACCTATCCAATTGCAGAGAGGTGTAAGACAGGGTGATGTTATATCCCCGAAACTCTTCACCGCTGCATTGGAAGACGTTTTCAAGCTTCTGGACTGGAAAGGATACGGTATTAACATCAATGGCGAGTACATCACTCACCTTCGATTTGCCGACGATATAGTCCTTATTGTCTATGTCCTCAATGACCTCAATAGTGTCTCCCAACGGATAGGTCTTAAGATGAACATGGACAAAACAAAGATCATGTTCAATGTCCATGTCACACCTATGCCTAGTTGTTGGGAGCACTAAGGTCGAAGTTGTTGACGAGTATGTTTACCTGGGACAAATAGTCCGACTAGGTAAGTCCAACTTCGACCGAGAAGTCATGGTCCTTCACTGCTGGCCGTATGAGGAAGCTCAAGGTCGCTCAGCGAGCTATGGAGAGGGCTATGCTCGGTGTTTAGTTTCTCTGCGTGATAAACTTAGAAATGAGGATATCCGCAGTAGAACCAGAGTGACCGACATAGCCCAACGGATTAGTAAGCTGAAGTGGCAGTGGGCCGGCCATATAACTCGAAGAACCGACAACCGATGGGGAAGAAAGGTTCTTGAGTGGCAGCCTCGTACCGGTAGGCGAAGTGTAGGGCGACCCCCCACGAGATGGAGTGACGACCTGGTAAGACATGCAGGAAGTCGATGGATGCAGGTGGCTCAGGACCGTGCTTTGGTAATGAGTGGTGGTGGTAATGAGTATTATAATATCCAAAATTCTTTTATTCCCAATTTTGTGACAACTCCTAACATACACGCCGCCCGCGTATATATCTGCGCGGGCGGCGGCAGAACACAAATCTCCTCTTCTGGTGATGGCGAGCAGTATACAGCCACAGTTTAACAAACTAACAGTTGATAAATACCTTTGATGTCAGGCGATGCCGCCGCCAGCGCAGATATTTACGCGGGCGGCGGCATCTCCTGATATCAAAGGTATTTATCAACTGTTAGTTTGTTAAACTGTGGCTGTATACTGCTCGCCATCACTTGAAGAGAATATTTGTGTTCGGTATAGTCGAACGAATTTGCCACTATCAGAAACACATCCATCACTCGGCAGGGTATACACCGGGTCCAAGAGTTGTTGAAATTTGGATAAAAGTTATTAATTTTCCCGTTACATTGCTCATATACTAATTGTGTCAACATTGCCGATGGTATCATAGGCATTATTAGAAGAAGTCGACATAACGGTCCTAAAGGAGAATGTATACTGGATGTTGATTTAAATTCGTTAATAAATCTTTAGAAAGCAGCTTTTAGATAGAATATTACTTGCCCCGCTAGATTTAAGAAAATAGATTCGTCATTTAAATACTGATTTTTTTTTGTTTACCGGCAGTTCAAAATCCCCGGGTGCTGGCAGTAGTAGGAATGGGGCATGTAAATGGTATTGCAAAATACTACGGCAAGATGAAGCAAGAAGACATTATGCCATTGTTATTGTAAGAAAATAGGAGCCAATAATAGTTAATATTCTTTTAGTTGTTACATAATATGTATTCTTTATGTCGTAATCCAAGGATTTAATCAGCTACTCGCAGTTGCAGATGGTTCTCTACAACTACGAGTTCTGAACTCTAGGTAAATGTAGGTACCTACTATTAGAAATTACTCTCAAAATTATTTCAAAAAAGAATAAAAGAATAATTTTAAAACAATATTTTGTTATTTAAAACAATAATAGTGTGAGAGCGGATGTTCAACGTGTTCTTTTGATTAAGCCTTAAAACAGCGTAATACACTACACACATACAGCATTACAATTCACATATATCGTAATACTTTCTGGACACAAAGACACAGTGTAACGTCATGGATGTGTGTACAAGATAACACCAAAATATATGACGTTTGGAAACCAAAAGCAGTTTTCCAAGCCATTCTTCAGCTATACTATAATTGTAGCACAAATGGGTCCGCTCGGCCGAAGAAGGACCACGCTCTCACAGAATACCAGCGTAAAATAGCAGTTTAATGCTGCTGATTCGTTTGGTGAGTGTAAAGAACCGGAGACAAGGGTGACAATGCATCTGCATATTGATTCTTAATCAAAGATAAATGTAGTTGTGTACGGGTCACAGCATCCGCTTACCATCATGTTAGGTTAATAACTACTATTGTTAGGTTAATAACTACAATATTTTTGTTTATAACGGAATTACTCGATAAGTGATTTGACTTTATACTATAATTACTATTAGTTGCTTACATTAATGATTGTGGATAATGGATAGAGTAATAATTATAATTTAGCCGGAAGGATAATGTTTTGATTGCTGTAAAAGAGTGGGGCGGAAATGACGCGGCCCCACTTTGCTAACAAGTGCAAGAGGTTGATTAGTAAATTGGGAGTGGCATTCGCTCAACGCTTGTCGTCGCAGTTAGACGTGAAGTTAAATTGAATTGTGTACATGTTAAATTGTGAAGTGAAATAAAGTGTAATAGTTGGAAAAAACCGTTTTATTTGGTCTTAAATAGTATAACAGATCAGAAGTGGGATAAAAAAGATACATATTTAATTATCTTGCCACGTGCACCGCTCGAATAATTTTCATATAATTGAAGACAATATGGATGACGAAATTAATCAAGGATAAGAGCAAGGAGATCGGATGACCCGAGGAAATGGATTGAATGAGATTGGTGATGATACGAACAGTCGAGGGGAAGGACTGGCGCATGTAATTAATCAAGGAGCACCAAGGATAGAGGTGTAAGGACGGAATTCCAGCCCGTTATTGATACGGAAAACGCCCTGGTCGAGGATAGAGCAGGTGCGTTTCAAGGATAAGGAGGAACGGGAGTACGGACATGGTATTAGACTAGTGAGTTTGGTAGCGAGGATGGAAATGATGGAAGAAAGAAAAAGGGCAAACGGTAAACTCGCCGTAGACTGGATATGAGGAGTAAAAGGATACGCGATCATTCGACGTCTTCAGAGGATGGTGCTTCACAGCATACTAGGCATCAGCGGCAACGTAGTATAAGTAAGTTAAAAACCAAGGCCTAACCTTACTTTCAACACTAACGTCATACTGGAATTTGACCCTTTGTCGAAAGATCAAACCATTTTAACTTGGATAAACAAAGTAGAAGAGTGTGCTGAAATTTATAGCTGGGATGAGAAAGTAATTATTTCCAAGACCTGGATTCAAGGATTACATTCACTATTATAATCATGACCCGAATGGAAGAAAAAAAGTTATTAGAATCATTCCCCTGTCGCGAAGACTATGCCGAGCTTCTGACTGTAATGTTATCTAAGAAAGTAAAATACGGCGAGTCACTGTAGCACTACTTTATGCAAAGATCAATTTATTAAACCGTTGTAAAATTTTCGATAGACAAGCTGTGGACTGCCTTCTTTACGGTGTTGAGGTACGTGCTATAAAAATGGGGGCTCAGGCTGCTCATTTGTCTGAGCCTGAGCAGGTTCTTAAATATTTTAAGATGGTTAAAACTAGCCAAGCCCGGCCAAACTTCGACGCACCAATACAAAAATATAGCGATCATAAGGTTCTGCTAGCGTCAAACCGACCCGGGCCGTCTAAATCTAATTCATTTAATAATAATATTAGGTATTTTAACTGTAGCGAAATAGGGCATCCGATTTTTATAGAAACAAATTAGCATCTGAGCCAGGATATAACAGGATTAGTCAAACTTCTAATGATTCTAAAGATGAGAAACACGTAGCGAAAATAACTTTAGGTGCTGCCCCTAACTTAGTAAGACCATTAGGCGTAGCGCTAGCCTCCGTAACAATGCAAATCTTAACGGAAGGTATAGAACTTTACATAGTTGAAGATTACGTTCTTAATCACCCAGTTTTGTTGGGGTACTCATTTACAGAAAAATCTGATATTATGATTATCAAAAGTTCTAGTAAATTAATCTTCCAAAGGATAACTCATAACAAAATTTGTTTATTAACTGAAAACGTCACCAATATTCCTAGTAACGCTTTGCAAACTGTAGAAGTATGTGCCAAATCGGACATTCATTGTGACATTTGTGTTATCGGATCGCTACGTGGTTCAGCTGAAAAAGAGTTATATTCTACCTGGAGAATACGAATGAAGAATGGTCGAGGTGTTCTCTTAATCTATAATATATCGGCAAATGATGAACAATATATGCATCGGAAAGAATTCACTTTTAACACGATCTCTACAGAAACATTGAATGCCTTCGGGTTCTACAGGTCACGTATTGGATTCGTGTAAATTCACTATTGATTCAACTGGAATAGACAAAACAATTAACTGTAGTTCTCAACTTACTAATGAACAAACACTTGAGTTACAGAGATTACTTTCGCAATACAAGGAATGTTTCTCAAATGGACTTTATGATCTTGGGTTTACGAATGCTACAGAAATGGTAATTGAGTTGAAAGACTCTGAACTAGTTGTTTACCGTCCCTACCGCATGTCGTACACTGAGTGACAACTAGTAAGAGATATGGTAAAAGAGATGGCTGACAGTGAAATCATAAGAGAATAGTCATCGCCCTATGCCAGCCCAATTGTATTGGCACAAAAGAAGACTGGTGAGAAACGGTTTTGTGTCGAATACAGGGCTCTTAACAGAAAGACGAAGAAAACTCATTATACATTACCTCGAATCGAAGATCAATTAGATTTACTAGAAGGTAATACTTTATTTACCTCATTGAATTTGGCTTCTGGCTATTACCACATACCAATTTCTGAAGAATCTCGAAGCAAGACTGCTTTTGTAACGCCAGACAGTTAGTATGAATTTAATCGTATGCCGTTTGGGTTGGTAAATGCACCATCTGTGTTTCAACGCACCATCAACAAAATACTTATAGAGGCTAAAATCAAGTATGCCATTGTATACATGGATGATGTGCTAATACCGTCTAAAACCTTCGACGAAGGCATTGTGAGACTAGAGGAAGTACTCAAACTCTTGAAGAAAGGAGGTTTAACTCTCAAAGTTAAGTAAATGCAATTTCTTCTATAAAACTATTGACTTTTTAGGATTTGAAGTAAGTGCTAATGGAATCCGCTCAGGTAGTAGAAAAACAGACGCCGTCTCAAAATTCCCGAAACCTCGCAACCAGCATGAATTAAGACAGTTCCTTGGATTATCTGGATTTTTAGGCGTTTTATCAAAGGTTATGCTACAATTACGGCATCATTGACTAGCCTTCTAAAAAAGGACTCTTGCTGGACATGGGGTCCAAGCCAAGACGAGTCCTTTTTAAAAATTAAGGAAATACTAGTCAATCGACCAGTGCTAGCTTTTTATAACCCTAGTAAGCAGAACTTCACACAGACGCAAGTAAGGAAGGTGTGGCAGGAATATTACAAAAGCGGAATTCAAAGAACACATTATGGCCCATATCTTATTTTAGTATGAAAACAAGTGCAAACGAGCATCAACTTCACTCATTCGAACTCGAAACTTTAGCAGTGATTGCGTCATTGAATCGCTTTAGAGTGTATCTTATAGGTATACACTTCAAAATTGTAACCGATTGTAACTCCCTTAGATCGACTCTGATTAAACGAGATTTAGTAGCTTGTATTGCGCGTTGGTGGATCGAACTACAAGAGTACGACTGCACGATTGAGTATCGACCAGGCGCGCGAATGTCTCATGCAGATGCGCTTATTAGAAACCTGATGGACTGTTCATCTGAAGGTATTGCAGGTGACCGGCAAATATGGGATGTGTTGACGATACAGCAAACCCAATCGGACAGCATCGTTACCGTGCAATCTGCTGATGACGAATTAAAGAAAATAAAGCAGATATGAACGGACTCCGAGGCAGACCAATATGTTGACATAATAAAAACTACAAACTTAAAATTGAGCGCGTCTATCGAATTGTTGGTGATTCACTAAAATGGGTAGTACCTAAGGGAGTACGTTAGCAAATATTCAAAATGAACCACGATGACATCGGGTATTGTGGTTTTGAAAAAACATTGAAACGAATCCTAGAACATTACTGGTTCGCTAAAATGCGCCGCTTTGTAATAAAAAAAATATGTGACGTCTTGTCTCGAGTGTGCACATCACAAAGCGCCGGGAGGAAAACGTGAAGGAGAGTTACATACAATAAAAAAGGTCAGTATTCCCTTCCACACAGTGCACGCAGATCACTTAGGACCCTTTGTCAAAAGCAAGAAAGGGAATAGCTATTTGTTAGTTTTGATTGATGGCTTTACAAAATATATTAACATTGCACCTGTTAAGAATACAAAGTCCGTGACAAGCGTACAAGTTATTAAAAACTACATAAGTTACTTCGGCGTAGAACCCCTTTGTCGTATCTCCTCAGTTTCAAGGCACTCCCCTTCTTGCCTCAGCCAGTATCGGAATCCTCGGCGTCGACATATCGAGTGACGTGCAGTTTCGTGGTCACTTGGAAGAAAAGGCCAAATTGGCCTCTAAAAAGCTTG